AAAACTATTTCAACTAATGGATTTTTATCAACATCACGAAATATCAACGTGTCACTTGTATTTATTCATATGAATGTTCAATCAAATGATTTTACATCAGTTTTATTTGAAATTAAAGCAAATCCACTATTGAGAACAGTGGTTTTTGCTGATGTTGGAGATAGAAGTCGAATAAAAGGTGAAGAAGAAGTTTTATTCAATCTCAATGCACTCTTTAAGATTGTTTCTGTTTGTTTTGATTCCAAACTTACTGTATGGAAAGTCGAATTGAATGCAACTGATGAAGGTGCAGAAAAAGTTGAAGAATATCTTGCATTATCGAAACAACAGATGGAAGAATACACACCACTTATTTATTTTGGTCGACTTCTCATGAATGAATTAGGTCAAGTAGATCGTGCAGGAAAATATTTTAATATGTTACTGAAATCACTTCCACATGATCATCCTGATATTGCATCTGTTTATAATAATATTGGTATAGTACATGAAGAGAGAAATGAGTTGAATTTGGCATTGAAAAACTATAAGATAGCTTATGAGATGCGTCAAAAGCAACTACCTTCAAAGCATTCTCATATTGCTGGTTCACTCAATAATATTGGTGGCATTTATAGATTAAAAGGTGATTTTAATACAGCACTCGATTATTATCAGCAAGCTTTGAGTGTTTATAACAAATTATATCCTGGTAATAATCTACAAAAAGCAAGGACAATCGAAAATATTGGGAGATTATACGAAGATATAGAAGATTTCGACTCGGCTCTTGTTTATTTGTCTCGTGCTCTCGATATGTATAAGCATGTTCTCCCTCATCAACACTCTGAAATAGCATCATGTCTTGGTGGAATAGGCTATACTTATGAGAAGAGAGGTAATTTAGATATTGCTCTGGATTATTATCAACAACGATTAAATATGGAAGAACAATGTTTACCTTTCGACCATTCAAGTCTTTCAGATCATCTTGGTTGGATCATCGATACTTATAAAAAGATGAATGAGATTGACAAAGCTTTGGACTTGTGTCAACAAAAGCTTCTTATTCAAAAAAGTAGATTGGGTGAAAATCATCCTCGTATTGCTCAAACATTAATGATCATGGCTGATTTAATTAAGGACGACAATCCAAACGAAGCATTAGAATACTATGAACAAGCTCTATCTGTATTGGAGAAATGCACACCATCTGATTACCAAGTCACTTCTGAGTGTTTGACATCAATGGCTTGTTTATATTCCAAGTATGATATGATGGAGGATGCATTACGATGTGACCTTAAAGCACTTGAAATTGATCGTCAAACATTGTCTTCTGATCACATTAACATCGCAAACAGCTTGAGTAATATTGGTCTATGTTATGAAAGAATGAACAACTTATCCGAAGCACTTCGTTATTTCAATGAAAGTCTTTCGATCTATCGAGCTAATTATGGACCAGAACATGAAATGGTGAAGAGAGGTGAAGTAAACATTATCAGATTGAAAGAGAAACAATTACCGCTACCGTCCCATATGAAGAAGAATAAAAAAAACTCAAACAATAACAAATCGTCCACCATCGTTAACAGTAAAGAATGTTTAATTCAATGATCAATGCTTTAGTTTTTCATCGATCCTGTTGTCTCTGTTAAAAGAATGAACACTTTTATGTAAAACTTGTTGTATTTGATCAATCTTACGCAAAATAAAATAATAAATGAGAAAATAGATTGTTTTTGGAAGGAAACTAGTAGTAATAATAGTAGAAATGTACTCAAGTCTTTGTCTAAACATCCACACATCAGCAAAGATTCGACAAATCTAAAAATAAATGTAAATAATGGTATTATTCAGATGAAACAATAGTTATGTAAAAAGTATTTAATATTTTCAATTTTTGACTAAAACATACAACAATATCATCTCTACACATTTCATACATTTTAGATGAGAAGCACAATATATCATTAAGATAACAAATGAAATAATATTATCTTATTGATAGAGCTCTATAAATACTGTTTCATTAATATTAGACTTAAACAAATGATAGTTTAAATAAAATTAATTTAAACAATATTCTATTTTTGTTGCGTGATCTAATTTTACTGACAAAAATTCTGTCATAAATATTTAAATAAATCAATAAATAAGTAAGCTTACAATGAGTCAAAAATGACATCATAATTAGACTATGTACTTATTTGTTTCTTTTTACGATTTTTCACTATTGTAAACTTATTTTATGTAAAGAAAGTTAAAAGTTTCTTCATATTACGGGAACGTGGTGTGGTTACTGTGTGTATGAGTAAGAGTGTGGGTGAAATAGAATAACAACGTTTATATCCACGCCCACCCTGACGATGATGTGTTTATCAAATGTAAACAATACGAATGAATAAAAGTACTTTTCATTGATGAAACAAAGCGTGTATTTATACAAAAAGTGAAAAGAAAAAGAGGAGGAAGAGGAGAGAAATAGACAATTTTGTACTTTTTCATCCAACTGAATACATTTAAAATAAATAAATAAAAAAAGAAAATCAAAGGTACTTTTCTATAGTTATTTAATAATTAATTATCATATAATCACACTCACTTTCAGTTGAAATTGAGAACAAATCGAGTTTTTCCACTATTTTAGAAAATCATCATTTTGCTACATTAATATCTGAACTCAGAAGCAATAAAAACAAAACATTATTCTAAGTTTAACCATAAGTTTAAAAGAGTTATGTTCTCGTTTTCCTAGAAGGCATCTTTTTATTCATAATTATCAATCAACGAAATTACTAAAACAGATTTTTTTTTAAATATTCATATCGTTCATTTACTTCGTCAAAAATAAAATATTATACAAACAAAAAAATTTATTCATACATTAAAAATAATTAAATTGTTAATTTTCTGTTAAAAAAATAAAATCTAACTCGGTAATGTTTGAATGATCTGTTGCAAATCACCTTGTTGTGCTTCACGTGCAAATACAAAAACTTCATCTAAGGAACCCATAAATGTTTGTGATACATTAACTCCTTGAATACCTTGACAATTTGCTGAACCACTATAATTACCAAGTGTAACTGTCATTGGAGCACTATTATTACCACCACGAACATTATTAAGAGTAGTTGCACCAACACCAACATTAGCCAATAAAGCTGATGTATAAAGTTTTGCAAAATTTGTTGAACTCCACGTAAATGCAACATGTGTCCATGCATTAGTTGGCATTTGTGGTCCAACAATATTTACACCAGCTCCTGTGGCAGTTGCATTTGGTAGATAAGCCACAATCTTATTTCCATCATTTTGAAGACCAAGTACAAGTAAACATGTATATGGATTAGCTACAGTAAGAAATACACCACTTTGAGTTTCGGCTCGAACCCATAAAGCAACTGAAAATGCTTGTTGTGGTGTTCCAAGTGCTGTAAATCCATTCGCTTGAAACGAAGCATCAGACATATTAAAATTAAGTGCATCATATCGCCAACCATAAATTGTATTTATATCTACACCACTAGCATTAAGACCATTCGGTCCAGAATCAAGTGTCCATTGAAAATCTAATCGATAATAAGCAGCTATTGTAGCATCCCATTGTATTACATCTTGAGTTTTAGCTTTTAATGAAATTGATAATTGATCGATATAACCTTGAAATCCGGCTCCAATAATGATAAGTGAATTGGTATTATTTGCTGATATTCCTAATTTAACAGATGAATTTGTTGCTTCAACAATTCCATCTATAGAAATAGTTGCTGTCTGTTTAGTTGCATAATATACAAAACTGATATGATGCCAATGTTGTGTCGAAAGGACTGAAGTACCCACAATACTAGTATTTAATCCTATCGAGGCAAATAATACACCGTTTACAAGATTTAACATAATATTTGGGGCAAGTTGAATAAGTGTTGCATTCAACTGAGTTTTTTGTAACATGAAAAATCCTTCGATAGTAAAATTTGAAGTAGTAGTTAAATTGAAAGCGGGTTGTATATTAATTTGAGTTGCATTTGACTGAGTTAAAACAATAGCTTGTCCATATGGAACATAACCTTGAATATAACTGACAGGTCCACCTGCAACAGCACCATTCCGAAGAGAATAAAGATCATTCGTATTTCCATCAAATGCATAGAATGCATCTGCAACAGATACTGGATCAGGTACTGATCCGTTGTAATAAATAGATGAGAATGTAGCTGTATAACAACAAAAAAATCAAGTTGTTATTTTTCAAAAGAATAATCTAAAATATTATTACTAGTAAGTGTAGGAGTCGAAGTCGAAGTCGTTTGTGCTGCATGTTTCTTTTGAGTGCCTAATACTGATCCTAATATAATAGCCATGATTATTAACGCTACTATAACAGCTATAACAGATAATATTCTTTTTTTCATATACCAAGGACTATATACAGAAAACAAACGTAATTTCTATAATATATAGAAAACAAAGAATATTTACCGAGTATCGTCCAATTCTTCAGGTTCCTTAACACGTGATCGCTATAAAAGACAATTTAAAGTTATTAATGACATCAAATTATATGAGATGAAAATCACATAAAGTAGAAGATTTTACTTTTCAGAACATTAATACTTACTGAGAGTCGATCAGATTCAGAAAATGGAATAAGTTCAGCACCTTTTCATATTATAATAAAAAATATATAGATTTTTATATAATACAATATATAAATTCTACAATACCTTCAAATGGTGGTTCAAGAAGTACATGTGGTGGAATCTTTTGTTGCAGATGAACAATATGTAGATCAGGTGCCGGACTTATTTGAGATCTTACTTCGAAATAGGTGCCCGGTAATAATAATATTTCATCTTCAGTTACGAAATGTGAATGTGCACGAATTGTTCGTCCATTAATTGTTTCAACTGAAAAAAGAGTTCGTGTTCCAGTATTACCCAAATAAAGATCTGACTCAAGAACACTTAATGATGTTGTACAAGATGAAAATGCCCACCATGTTACTTCGGCACCTGGTGGATATTCAGCACTATGATCTTTTCTTACACCACGCCAAACTGTTTGTCGAGGAGCTACTGGTAATTTAGCTAATGCTGTAACAAATAATTTAAGAAATCGAAACCATGGTCGTAGTTTTGTTCGATCAACTTGTTTCAATGTTCGATTAAGATGAGAATAGAGACTTCCACGTGTTTGATTTGCAGGTGCATCCCATTCCATAGTATAAAGACGAATAGACGCTGATTCATCTTGTGAGAGACCATCAGCAGGAGTTTTTGAATTTTCTTTAGCAATCCAAATGTGAGGTTCTAGACGAGGAACAATATCTAGAAGTGGTTCGCATGCTTCTTCTAATGATAATAATGGTTCATAAGCATAACCAGTAATTGGTTGTAATAATTGTTTTGGTTCATCACTAATACCCAACAAATATCGTGGATTTATAAAATCAAATGAGGCGTCACCCATATACTCTTTGCTCGTTCACTATTGTGTATGACTTGTTTATATTTAAGATTAAAAAGAAAAACATATCATTGACTACTCCGCAATGAAAATTAGTCATCCGTATCACGCATGATTATGCACAAACGATAATGATATTATACTTGTATATTCAGTAAATCGTAGAAGAAAAGAAAAAAAGCTAAATATGACAACGATAATATCTATAAATATTTCTACATCCCATGGTTACTTTTCGTTTATCCCTGACTCACATCTTTCACTCCTACATAATGCGTCACTTAAAATATAAAAAAAAGAAATTGTAAACGTGCAATTAATATTGTACCACGCTTATTTTAATTAATAAACTTCGATCAAAATTAGATGTTTTATTAGTTTATACATTGTATTGTTTCATTGAAATAGACTTTTATTCACCGTAAGATATTACCACTATTGTTAGCCTTTTCTTCTATCTTCATATATGAGTAATAAAATTCAATAGAGATGAAAGTATCAATAATTCGTTACACATGATAGAAAAAGTCAGTAATTATAAATTAATTTGTCTAAACATATGAAGATTATTTTTTTTTCTCTTTCTCTCTCTCTCATCTTAAGATGCAAATAAGTTTTAATGCATACAACTGACCATTTATTTTCTCGATGTGTGAACTATTGACACATAGTTCGGGTCAAGTAAACATAAGAGAAAAAGCATCGTTCGCTCTTCTTCTTCTTTTTTTTTCATCTTTTCTAGACATGTCTTTTTTTTATAACTATATTCCATCGGCGAAAAGAAAGTGATGATGAAATCTGATCTTAGCGAACAGATTTTAATTAAGCACACTCTTCGTTCGCTGTCTATTTGCATAATCAGAATCATCATCGGTCGGAATATATATTGCAAATAAGAGCGAGAGAGAGAGAGATAGAGTGGAATAAAAATGATACGACTATCATTTTTATAATCGAAACAAAGTGAATGGTTATCGATTGAACACAAAATATTAGTTGGCAAGAATTTTATCTTAGCTTCTAAAGAAATATTTAACAAAAATGTGTCTAATTTATTTAATCATTTTTATTATTTCAATTAATCATACAATAAATGGAAATATATCAAAAAATTCGACATCAAATCGTTTTTTAATTATTCCATCATGTCAAGCAAATAAAGATGGATTAAAATCAAGTAAGAAAAAAAAATGTTTTATTTCTATTTAGATAGATAGATAGACAACTAATTTTATTAAGCTAATTTTTTTTTCTTTTTTTTATATTTGCTTAAACGCATAGCCGTAAAATAATGTTGTTACGCATATAATTATTGATTTAGGTTAATTTTCTTTTTCATTTTGTATTCTATCACCTATCGTTTATTAATGGGAAGTTTAACAATACTATAGGGCGTGGATGTGTGAATACAAATTTTTTTTTCTTGTTTCACATATGGAGTAATGAGATAAAATTCTATTTTTCCTTCAGCGATGATTGGTTATAATGTGCTTTATGGACGCATGCATTCCCCTTTTCTTATTCGCATCACTAAAAATTATTATAATTCTTCTGCATCACTATTTTTTCGTTGCCATCATCATTCTGAGTTAATAGAGAATCGTCATTCCCTGTCTTACAGTAATAGAAAAAAAACGACACATCTCCTTCCGACATTGTGTCTCTCTTTGTCATTCTATCCAATTTTCATCATCATCATCATTATTCTCAAGACATGTTTTAGAGCTTTATATGTCCTATGACGATAATAAGACTTTTGTCATCTTTTATACATTCATATATATATTAGAGAAAAAAAAAGTATTTCTAATTATTTTTTTAGTTCCAAAATCAAGTGATCGTAGTTACTATTTTTACTTTTCCAGTCAGTCACCATCGTCCTTGTCTTCTTCCTCTTCTTTTTTACCATCATTACATCTGTCGTATTGTGAACATCAACACACGACTTATTATTCGCCAAGTGGTTTTCCTATTCTTCGTTCGTCACCACGGCTTCCTTTAACTGACATACACGACAAGGAAGATTCTTCGTCCTTTTATCTTCATAATGCTATTCTTTCCGCTGTTGGTCAATCATCATCTTCTAGCAGTAATATGATCACTACACTAATGTCATCATCATCATCATCATCACCACCACAAGAAAAACATGTACTTGTCGATAATGATGATAATATGATATTGACAACAATTAATTCTTTAACAACAATAGCATTTTCTAATATTAGTTCAGTGCATACATCATTAACAACAACATCATCATCACATAAAGGAAATCGAGCATTTAATACAATGTTACTTATAGGATGTGTAGTTATTGGAATATTTATTCTCATTCTTGTTTTTATTCTTATTAAATGTTTTCATCGTGATGAAGGTTCATATAAAATAGATGAAAGTCAAAATTTTACAGCTGAATCATCTCATTCGGATAAAATTGATAAAAATGGTTGTGGTGGAAAAATATCAGCAACAAAACAACAACGTCAAAAATTATTGACAGCAAATGAACAAATTGTTGCTAATTCGAAAGAATGGTATGTGTAAATAAAAAGAAAATACTGTTTCGTGTTTTTCATCTTTCTCTCTTTTTTTTTAAATAAATCATTGATGAAAAGACAAATGATTATATAAATGTAAATTCAAGTATTGACAGGTGTTTTATTAAAGATAAAAGAAGAAAAGTATTAAAAAAAATAGGAATGTCATTTATGTAATCGCATAATAATCTCTTTATAGTACGCTTCAGTAATTACAAATGTAGCAGCAGACGGTACATCGACTTCTCTAAAATGTAATAAAAATTAATCTATGTTATACAAAGCGTTCATAAAGTATCAAAATAAATTTACCTATTCTGTTGATCAGCATCAAGAAAACGAATATTTAATGTTCTTTTATCATTTAATATTTTTTTAATTCGAGCTGGTTTATAAATATATTGATCACCATCTACAGCTAAAACATAATAATTAATTTGATGTTCATTATGTGTACTAAACGTTCCAAATAAATGTTCTTCTTCTTGATAACTTTCTGTTTCATCACACCATTTAATTAAATATCTATGACCGGATTCAACTCGATCAATAATCGTACCTAACATAAATTTTTTTTGATCATTATTTAAACCAACAATAACTTGATTTATAAGAGAAGTTTCATAATCAATACGACATTTTGCATAATATGCAAATTGGTCTGTAGTTATTGGTATTACAGATTCATGATCGGGAAATATTTCATCAATACAATCATAAAAGCGAACATGTATTTTTGAATGTTCATGTTTAAGTACTACTGCAGGTCGCCAACATTGACGAAAATCTTTTGGATATTGAATAAGAGCGCATGATTTAGGCTATAAAATTTGAATAGAAAAATAATAGAGAATTTATTTATTCTTTTGCTTACTTTTAATTTATCTAAACGTGTACGTTGTGATTGAAGAAATATATGTTCTCGTAAAATAAAACAATAAGTATGAGATAAATCTTTTCGTTGAACACGATATTTATTTGAATCAGTTTGTTTTTCTAATACAGTGCCCTAAAAAAACATTTATATTGATATATTCAATTATAAGAAAATTAACAAACCGGATAAACAAATCCACCATAATCAAACCATACAGCATATACATCTGTATTTGGTTCAATGAAATCTATAGGTTTGGGTGTGGGTGTTGGTGTAGGTGTGGGTGTAGGTGTGGGTGTAGGTGTTGGTACATATGGAGGAGTTGATGGTTTAGGAGGCTTTGGTGGTTTTGGAGGCTTTGATGGTTTTACTGGAATTTCATTTGTTTGAGTTTGGTTATGTTTAATATCTGGTTTAGTATTTGGTTTTTGTGTTTGCTCTTGTAAATCGTAAATTGCATCCCTTTGATATTCAAGTGTCTTAAAGAAGAGAATTTAAACTAGATTTATTTATTTTCAGATAGATATTTTTTTTCTTTCTACCGTTTTAAGTTGAACATAATTTTTAGTATGCGTTTCATGATAATGGTTAATTTTAATTGTTAATGGTTCAAGTCCTTTTCGTAGAGTATCTAAATATTATCAAAAGTTAAGTTGATGGAAATCAATATATAAAAATTCTACCTTCTAATGAGTTTGATGAAATTGTTGTTGATCCATTCGTACCGCCAACAAATGTTGTTTGTATATGACTAAATATATATATATATTTTCTTAGAAATATCAAAAAGAAAGAAATTACTGAATATTTTGAAGATATAAAAGAGTTCGTTGAAAAAGTCCTAAACTTATTTTAAGTAGATCACGACGATGTACATGAACCTAAATAATGATTGAAATTATTTTTATTTTTAAAATAATTGTTTATACTTGATATGAACGTGGAGTATATATTTGTACCATATGTAAAGATGGTTGTGGAGAGACTGGCGATGGAAGAACCATAACAATACCAGGTGCCCAAAATTCTTCGTTATTATTCATTAGGCGAACAAATACATAATCATTTACAAATAAATGTGGTTGAGCAATTGCACCAGCTATTGGTAAAAGAACATGTCCAGTTGCGTCTTGTTCAATACCCATATCAAATCGAACAATAGTTTTGCCATTTGTAATTCTTATTACAATACCTATTTAGAAATTTAAAAAAATTTATTTTGAAATTATTGAAAATATTTTGATCAAACAGGCATAAAAGAATCCATCAGCATCAAAACGACATATAAAACGTTGACCAGAAGTTCGATCTCCGGATGGTCTTCGTGGACCTTTTGGTGGTTCTTCTACTTTTGATTCCACCTGTATATTATTATTATTAGATATTCATTATTAACTAAGAAGAAAACATACATCAGCTCGTTTTTGTAATTTACGTAAATCAGTTGAGATTTGTAAAAATTTAATAGCACGATGTATTTCAGTATCCATACGAGTAACTGCACTATATGCTGATTCTGCTCCAGATTCTTTTAATATAGTTTTTAAGAAAGCTTGGTTTTTATCTTGATAAACTACAGGTTTCTCTAATAAACTATTCGAAAAGAGAAACTCTTATGTTACATATAAAAATAATCGACATATATTTACTTCGTTTGTTCAGCATCAGTTAGTTTTCGCCAAGCATAACTTTCTAATGCACTAATTCAATAGAAAATATATGTTAAATTTAAAAAAAATATAAAAAAATTTGTATTACCTCTCACTGGTATGTTCATCTTTAGGTATACCTTTTTCAAATCTAAAAAAAACGATTGTTTTTAAAAAGAATAAAATTTTATCTAACATTTCTCACTTATTTTGTTCATCGTTTGACAAACTAACCCAATAAATATGTGGACCAAGTCTATAATAACATGTATATTTATTAATATTTCGAAATAATTTATAAGAATTTTTTGAATAGATAGATACGAAAAAGAATCAATCCGATGGCTTTATCATTTAAAATGACATGCATTATATACTGATATATTAGATATAATTTTATACTAATTATCGAAGTCATGGGCAGTGTTTTATCTAGATTTTTGTTTTCGAGAGTGCATTAACGATTTCCGGGAGGGCAAAATCGTTCTCCGGAAGGGCGCCGCCATCGCTGCCCTCCCGCTAGATGAATGACCGGTCGTGGGAGTATCACACATTCAAGAACTTATGAGCGGTAGTGTATAACTATAGGTCATCTACGACTTTATATTTCGTAATAAAATAATGACAGACAGTTATTGATTGTATGTCGTCAAATTATTCCTTCAATCATATAGAAACGGACTACTTACTTTCGTTTATCTTCAATGCTTAAATGTTTCCAAATAAATTTTGATGTAAATCTAAAAATTAACAAAAAAGTTACTTTTTCTTTTAATTGGTTATTCAGATTTCTTACATATGATAACTAACAAGTAATTCTTTAAGTTTATTTTCATATTTTTCCAAATCGACTGCGTAATGATTTACTAAACGTAATTTACCAGCATAAGATCCATATGCCAATGGTAAAATCTAATTGAAGAAAGAAAAATATTTGTTAAAATTATATTTTCAAATAAATTTATATATATAATTTACATCATCCCAAACTTTAGATAAAACATAACGATCAATAACTTGAATATGACGTGGTTCTTTAACCGTAACGGATGTTGGATAGAGGACATCGAAGATAGTTAAAGCTTTTGCAACTAAACTATTCTTTTTTAAATAAGCTTTTACTTCATCATATGGAGTTCTATTTAAGAAGAACAAGTCACTATTATTATTAAATGATTATAAATGAATAAATTATTACGAAATTTTTTCTGTCACAGATGTTACAACTAAAACAAGAGAATAATTTGAAATAATTGTAAGATTTTTAATTAAATATACCTTCTACTCGTTGTTCATTTTCTGTACCAGATGTTGATTGTTCTTTATTTCCGTGTAAATATACTTCTGTTTCTGGTAAAAGCCATTGATTATAATTTATTTTAAGAACATCATTTGATTCGTATACATTAATTGCTAAAAATACATTCAAAGTTGAATCTTTATATTTTATTTTTCAAATCTCTACCTGATCTAGATCTTGATGCTTTACGATTTTGAGTTGTTGTTGGACGTTTTTTTTTATTACCTGTTCGTTGTGACATTGTAGCTATTTAAATATTGTATTCTTGTTAAATGGTAAGTTCATTTATGGTTAAAAAGAAAACTTGTAACTATATCCCTTTCATAACAACTCTTACGATAAGAAGAAAAAGAATTTTTCACTTTCTATTCTGTACACGAGGAATGTATAAAACGAACAAAAAACAAACATTTTCAACTGTGAAATTGCTATTCAATCGATTCTTGGAATAGTGAAAAAAATTTTTACAATCGTTTATTGTCGAGTTAAGCATATTTTACTTGAATTTTCAAATGTAAAAGTTGATTCTAATTACTGAAAAATCATCGAAGTTTGAATTGGCATTCATACATTAATCAGTGGCGTAGCGAGGGGGGAGCAAAAGAGCAACTGCGCATTTCATTTAAAGATTTACCTATTGCAACTTAACTTTTTCAAAATTGTTTTTTTATTTTTGAATTAATCTGTGACTATATTTTTTTCTTCGATTTGAAGCACACCCACACTGTCTGCTTGTTTTTTCTACGAAAAATTATAGAAGAAGAAAAGAATCGCTTCTTGTATTTTAGCTGTAAATTTGAGTAAACATGAGTTTGATTTTATCGGGTACTTGGTCACATAAAAATAGTGCTGAGAGAAGTCTCAGTAAATTATCGACAATTAAAATTTATTGTTGGTCTACAATGGAACAAAACAGAGTTGCTGCTGCTTACATACATAAAGATCCAGATGAAATTTTAAAATTATATACAAATAAATTCTCGTCGTCCTGATTTTGGAGTTTGAATTTGAAATATGAATGTTATAAATAGAGACACTAAAATACATCTAAATCGAGCTTGATACATGTTTGATCAGAAGAATTTTATTTCATTTTTTTGTTTTTTCGACGTTATCAGTGCTTTGCTGTGCTAGAAAATATTCGCCTACCAATAAAAATCTTGCCTATTAGTCTAAAAATCCTGGCTACGCGACTAACATTGATATGAAGTATATGTTGAAAGAAGATTTTCTTTAAAGTTCAAATATATGGACGACATAGTATGAGTACGGTTTCAAATTTCAATGATTTATTAGTGACTAGAATATTTATTTATGGACAAAATATCAAGGATCAAAATTGAGTATATAGGAAAAGATCTATTTCACTGACTATTGAATAATATGCTTTTTTTTACTTACCACTAGGTGGTCGAGCTGTAATGTCGAGTGCACTCTGACTTTTAAATTGTAACAATGTTGAATTATTATCATTATTAGTCTGACGATTTTTATGTTTTGTTGTTTTTGGTGGTAGATTTTCACGTGGCCATGCTTGTCCTAAACATTCATCACGTAAACCAGCTATACGTTCTAATTCTTTTTGACCACGAGTTAATTCTCGTATCAGACTTCCAACATCTTCACTCTTAAAAATAATAGAAAATCTTCATGAAATAAACTAACTATATTATTTTCATAAGAAAAACCTCAGGTATTTCAACTGTTGTTTGTTTATTAATTCCATATTGAAATGCATGAAAACGTCCACCTGTTTGTTTAGCTAAATCAAAAAGAAATTGATTTGCTGTTTGATCTTGGCAATTAAAAGCTATTGTGTGCACTGGAACTGTTTGACGATATTGAACTTGTGAAAGAATATGTCGTTCATTCTAAAATAAAGTTTCTTTTAATCTGATATTTTTTTTCTTTATTTAAATCTTACTTGATCAGGTCGTCCATCAGTTAAAAGATAAATAGCTTCCGTAGCTGAATCAGCAAGTGCAAAACGAAGTGCAGCTAATGTATTTGTTGATCCTTCAGCATGAAGTCCATCAATCCATGATTGAAGTTGTGAACCTATTGTTGAATCACTAATTTTTGTTAAACGATCACGCCAAGGATTTGTTGCAGTATTAAATGCAACCATATTAACACGTTCTTTAGCAGATAATTGATCCTATAAATAATTTTATTTTTGAATAATTATTTTTAAACAGAAAAAGACAAGAATTATACTTGTATAAGTAAACGAAGTTTTTCTTTAACAAAACCCAAATGATGTTGCATACTTTGTGATGTATCAATTAGAACATAAATATTATTTTCCAAAACAGTACCGAATACTTCACGACTGCCTTTCTTTAACCATTTTAATCTAATAATTATGAAATAAAATGTATACAGTATTCTTTACAGATCTTTATAATTACCTTGCTTTTATTTTTTCAAGTAAACTTCGTATTCGTCTTTCATAATCACTAATAACAAACAAATAATAATATATATGCAGATAAAAAAGTTAAATTTTTTACCGATGAAGTTCTGGGGTAACGTGAACATGTCGAATTGTTCCATCTGGCCATGCGACATGGGCAAATTGATCACAATATATTGCATTTATCAATTTATCTTGTGGATTCTAAAATGAATAGAAAAAAACGATGTTTATATAATTCTTTTAGTTTATTTCGTCTGAAAATAGCTAGGATTTACTGATACGTACAGCTGGAGTGTTGTCAGTGACTTGATCAGAATCATTTGGTGGTTTTAATACCTTCACAACTCCATCACAATGTTTAAATGCTGCTGATTGAAGAACAGAAAAGAAATCAAGTTTTTGTGCATCTATTCCAAAATTTTTTAACCACTCAGCTGATGTCATATCATTTTCTTCATTATTAAATAATGTTGTTGATGGAACAACAAGACCACGTTGAAAATTTTTATCACCAGATGTATTAGATGCTTCTGATGATTTTGTTGCTATAGAATAAGAGTAAAATAATTCAGCTGAATTAAAATTAACAAAATTTTTACTTGCAAATGATTGTACTGGATTTTGACTTTCATCTCGTACAAATCCGAGGATTTTTTCTATTCGATCACTTATACTTTGACATTCAATAATTTCTTTATACATTAATGTTATATCAATTGGATATTCTGATAAAGGTGTTAAAGCATTTGTACCAATTTGTAATTTATCATCTTGTAATTTAATTCGTGTTGGATCATTTAAATTTGCTGGTGCTTTTAAATCAGATATTTCACTTTTAATTTTATAACAAAAATAACTATATTGAATAAAATAAAAGGTAGACGAAAAAAATTTTCTTTAATTTAAACTAACCTTCCATCTGCAGATTGAGCAATTGAACGAAGAAATGTCTGTGTATCATTATTATGACAAAATAATGAAACAACATGTAATGGTTTCGAAGGATTAGATGAAAGACGTGTTTTAACAATATTGTCACGTAACATTTCACGAGCATAATCTGATGAATCACCTTCGCTTATTAAATATATACTATGAACCTAGACAAAGATTTGTTAAAATACATATAATTGATAGTAAGAGGATATTTACATCATTAGTAAATCCTTTAAGAACTGCTTCGCACGTTGCACTTAGTGATATTTTATTTCGAGGACATTTTCGATCATATACCCAATCAATCTAAATAAATATAAGAACGAAAAAATTGAAAACGTATTCTTTGTATATAATTAGCATAAGTAAAGACAACAGAAAATATTGTGGACTTCCCCCCTTCTTCATCAATAGGAGAAAATAACAAACAACCATATCTTTTATCAATCAATTAAACTTACAACTTGATCGATATTCGATGAGTTGACATCAACTGGTTCTGCTCGAAATTGTTCATTATCATTCGACACCCTAAAATATATATATTAAAAAACATATTAACATAGTTAGATTTAGAATTTTTATTACCAAATAATATTAAATCTTTTAATTTTCGTAAATTGTTCTTTAATTAAACTTGCTATAGCTGCTTGAAATTGATTAAATAACCGATAATCAAATGTTTTACAATCACATACAAGACATACACTTGGATCAGCAATTATTCCAAATAAACGACGTGATCCATTAGTTATAAACATTAAACGTTTCCTTAATAAATGTAATATTTTTTGTAAACGATGAACATATTCACGTAATTTCCCTGGGCGACATGTTAACTATATATATTGAAAATAATTCACATGACAAAAAGTAAAACATCAATTCAATCTTACAACGTATCGATCACCATTATCATGTTGTACTTCATTATAAAGATTACCAGCATATTTTGCGCTGATAGTCTTACCAACAACAGGATCAAAACCTAAAATTTAATAACAAAAGAAAAGTCACTTGAAAGGTTTCCATCGCCTTGGTGTTGATCAGAATGTGAAATTGATTTATTTTACTTAACAACGAACTATTGCTAACTTATTTCTTATAACAGATTTGAAAATGAACTGTTTAATTGATAGTTTTACGAAAACTAACCTTCAACACGTTTGAATCCAATATTTTGTAGAATTTGATCAAAGGTTAATTTTTGAGATTTAAGACCATATCGCTGAATCCATTCAGTACTTTTTAACTACAAAAATAATTTTTTATTCAATTAAAATTAGATCATAAATTATTTAATTTACTTGACTGAACAAATAAGCAGGATCCGAAGATGAACCAGTTGAAATTAAATGAGATGATGTAGTTAAATCAAAATTATGTAATTCACCAGATGTTACTGAATAGGGAACAGCAAGTAAAGCAGTAGATGAGGAAGAGAATGAAGTTCGACCAGTCTTAGATGTCGTCATCGTATATCAATCATAAATAAATAAAAATGATTGAAAAATTACTACTGACAAGTTACCGACTACCATTGTAGAGTATGTTACTATAGCAAGATCACAACCATTTATTTAATTAATATAAAATTAATAGATTAATAAAATAGAAATTAATTTTGATAGTTTATTCTATATTTTCTTTTGAAGTTTTCTTCCGATTATATAATGATTCTTTACTACTATTGGATATTTAATAAACCAATCAGAAGAAAAAGAATCAATCAATGATGATTTAGAAGATTGTTTTGTGTATTTTGTACTGTATATGGATATGTTCATGTTATATTATAAATCATAACGTAATATTTATTTATTGTGATTTCTAGATATAGACAAAATAAACGAGTAGAAAATGTTGAAAACTATTCTTCGTCATGGTTGTCGTCTACGACCCGCAATGAATATGCGTTTATCAACACCATTATATAATCGTTTACATACATTATCATCTGGAAATACAAATCGAAATGGTCAAGTATGTTAATTAACTAGAAATATTATTTTTATTTCTTCGAACAAAAATTATTTTAATAGATTTGGCCATATGTTTTTGTATCACGTCGTACAACAATTCTTGATCAACATGTTAAAGATGCTGGACAAATGCGTACACCACCACCAATGACACCGGCTGATATTGAATCACGTGTATTACGTATTTGTAATGAATATGATAAAATTCAAGAAGCAAATAAAAATAAAGTATACACGATATTTTAGATAATATATTGATTATTCTATTAATCATTCCTAAATTTGTCCTGACATATTTTTTTCAAATACAAACGAATGTCTCTATATAAAAAGGACTATTACTGAGATCATTAGTCAGAACTAGAATTCTTAGGATCCATTATCTTCACATCGGAATCGTTTTCTATATATCAATTTTTCAAATAATCTTGACAATAATCTTATGAAAATGTATGATTCTTTTTTTTGATAAACAAATGATCGAAAACGCATTGCTCTTTCCTAGAATAAATCAATTTTTGTATAAGAATATTTTGCTACAGTTAGTAGTTTGAACTAAGTTTAATGATTTATTTGTATTGTCTATTAAATCAATATTTTTATTTAGATAACTTTGGCAACTCATTTTATGAATGATCTTGGTCTTGATAGTCTCGATCATGTTGAAATTATTGTTGCATTAGAAAATGAATTTGGTAAAAAAAATAAAAAACTAAATTTATTTCTCATTAATTCTTATCTTTAGGTTTTGAAATTCCTGATGCTGATTATGATAAATTATATACAATTCAATCTGTAGTTGATTATTTAGTTAGAAAAATGAATATCACCGAACATGCAAAACCTGTTGTTTCATCAGCATCTGATCCACGTTATGACGATCATCATCATTGATTTTTTTCTTAAAAATATGTCACGTTTTTTTTTTCTTCTGTCTGCTATTAATAACCCTACGTATTTTTTTTTTGTTTCAACGATTACATTTAGTATACACTAGATCAGCAGACAAAACTCGTGAACTATTTCATTTTCTACGTTCTTCTTTTTTTTTTTGTATGATCAGAAACAAAAAATAGCACAAAAATTGAGTCTGAAATGGCGATAAAAAACGATTACATTCTTACTCGTTCTGTAAGAGAATGAAGCAGAAAAAAACTGATTCATCCGGTAAACGATATAACGGCGAAGAGAAAAAGAAAACAGAAGACGGCAGTAATGGCGAGAAGGGAATAGTATCTCTATTGCGAAGAAAAATGACTATTGTTAGAGACGAACAAAATGAGAGTACTACTATAATCGGATTGTAGAGAAAGAACAAAATCTTCGAAGAAAATAAACAAAGATATTTTTAGACAAAAAAAAAGAAAGAGGTAGGAAGATAAGATATTCGTTTAACTATTATTTTTATGATTGGTTCGGAACAAACATAAGTATATTTTGGTCCTTTAATATATGCACGTGCGTGTGTGTGTATAACAGAAAACTTTTACAACCGGAACTGCATAGAAATACTAATTATTATTTTATAGACATACACAAATAATGTAAGTATTTGAAGTTTGTTCTATATTTAAAAATTCTCTTCAGAAAGTTAGTAAGACTTAATTCATGAATAAGTATACGAATAGTAGAAATAATTATCAACTTAGAATTCAGAAGATTTTATATTTATAGAAATATAAACTCTTCAACATACGTTTTGTAAGGACAAAATTATCATATGCAATTAATTGAACATGAAAAGAGTCTGGTACACAAAAATTTCGTTTGAATCTATAAATAAATAAAGATTGATAATAAAAGTATGTCATGTAATGGTGATATATCTTGTTGCATGTTAGAATTTAGTGAATTGATTCACATGTCAGATAGACAATTCAATTATTTACATAAAACTATGTTACATGAATATGAGAAATAATTTTTCCCCTTCTTTGTCATAAGTAAAGAAAACGAGGATAATAACGTTCTTTTCTTTACGTATTCTATTACTTTAACAATGTGTTTAAACATTCTAAAAGAGTTTTTTTGTTTTTCATCTTTAATCCATGGATCTAATCGACGGTAGTATAGATAGAAAATTGATATACATATTTTTTAAAGTAGTTTCATGTTAAATTAATTATAGACATATTATGGGTACAAATAATTCCAAAGAAAATCCGAACTTAATATTGTCAAATATTGATAATAATCATACGCAGCAAACATCAATCAAGAATAAAAGATCAATAATTAATAAGAATAAGAAGAAAACAATAAATTATGGCGGATGGCAAGAAATTTGTCGATGTACACATGCGGATTGGCTTCATGGAAATGCTGGTATGAAAATCTTTGATTAATTCTTGTTCATATTTTATTATTTAGAATTATTTGGTTTTATTCAACATAAATTTATTTGTAATTCAGAACTTCATAGTATATGTGCTCCAGGTTTTTGTTCGGAATCATTATCACGTAAACTTCATAATGGTTCTTATCGATCAACAACAAAAAATTTTCAATCGACAACATCAATAAAAAGTAAAAAATTACGTGAACATTTTGAATACAATCATATACCAGCAATGATTAGTTCATTACAAAATTTTTCTGTTCATGGAATTATTAATGGTTGTTCAGATCATGGTGATACAATTATGTTATTAATCTATTCAATTGTTTTAGAAAAAACAAAATTTATTATTGTGGATTTAAAATTAAATCGTTATATTTGTGCATTAGGTGATGATTATAATGGTTTAATTGATGCGAAAAAAGTTCATGCAGCTTGGTCTATGGATAGAACACAAGTTATTATACGTACACCGATTACTGGTGGAACAGCTGCATTAGATTTTTATAAAAGTATGACACTTATATTAATGATATAGATTTTATCATTAGAACAATTTAGTTAAGGCCACTCCCCCTCGGAAAAAGTCAATTTTTGTAAAAAAAATGAACATTGAAATAAATGCATGGGAAGATAGTTTGTCATCTGCTCTTTCATAAATGATAAAATTTTTTAGCCGATATTCCATTTTTTTGTTTTGTTTGAAAGAGCGTGTCAAGATGAAGGGCATGACGGGATCCTTTTTTTTTAAAATTAAGCTTTGTTTTGAATATATATAGGCGCTCAGATCATTAGACACCCATGTTTTGAGGATTCCAGAGTCCCAGAACTTGTGATATCTTTTTTTGGACTAAAAAGTATGAATTTTAAAAAAATAATCCCGTCATGCCCTGTAGTCTAACATGCTCTTTCAAATAAAAAAAAATTAAATATATAGAATGAGTCTAGACGGTGAAATTTGCGATGCCGAATCAGCTATTTTGGATTCTTGTTTGGTTAATATCTCTCCCAAATAACATGATATCGGGCTGAAAACTTTACCAGAACTTCTGTATTATAGCTCTAACATATTCTGTAAATTTCAATTTATTTGAATGATCTTAGGTCAAAAATCGATTTTCGAGGGAGGAGGGTGGCCATAATTCAGATTTCAATGAAAATAAATCTGTCTTAAGGTAGACATAATGAAGCAATTTTTTTTGTCTTTCTAGTTGTAAAAAAAGAAGCGAAATTATATCGTCGAATTGTTCCAATTGATATCAATACTCAATTCCAATTTTGTCCAAATTATTGGTCATCTCGTTTAGCTCTATATACATATTCAACTGAAGCAACACCAACATCATTAATTAATTTTAATATTAACTCATTATCACCTAGTGGTTCAAATAAAATTCAAAGTCAAACCATTCCATTACATCAACAACTCACTGGTTCATATTTATATTTAATGAATGTACATACATGGTCAATTTCTAAAAATCAAAATATTATAATTGATGATACTTTTCGTCTTTTATCAATTTCATATACACCTGATAGTGTATATTTAATATTAACATTTGTAGATAATCTATGTCATTGTGGACAAACATTACCTATTAGTTATTTTGATATATATCAATCAAATACTCTTCAACGTCTTCATCGTATACATACACAACTTGTATCACATATATGTCCTTGGCATATGTGTCGAAATATTTTAACACCAATTTATTCTGTTTCATCATCACGTATGGCATTTTGTACAACAAAAAATAATGGCGGTCGTGAATTACAAATATCAGTTATTGTTTTACCTAATGAACTTAATTTAAAATCTATTTGTCGTCGTATGATTATTCATTATTTAAATGAATTCAATGGGAAAATTGAAGATATTACAAGTGAACTTCCATATCGTCTCAGTCAATATATTCAATATCGGCCAGAATATCAATAAAACAGAATAATAAGAAGACTCTGTTTTGTAAATATGTATATAAATATTTATATTTACTGTATATATGTTTTCAAAAAACATACAATAAACAAAAATCAAATCTTTGTTTATTTGAAGAATAAATTTAAATTTAATTACTTGAATAATAGTCTGGAATGTTGTAATTATTAGATAAATATCTTATAGAAGCTTTTCTTAATCATATTTTCT